GGAGGCGTTGCGGAGAGCCTGTCTCCCAACCCCACCGGTGCGTATTCCTGCATAATCACCGCTTAAAGGCACATTTTGACAGCCCCCTTTATCTGCTTGATGTTTTTTTCATGTCTGCACAGCAAATCACCCCACACCTCCAACCAATTTTCCCCCCTCTCTCTCTCTTAAGTATTCAGCGGGTCTTGCCTTTCATATTAATTTTTATGACCTGGGATGTTGCCTGTGCGCGTGTTGTGTGTTGTGTTGTGTGTTGTGTCTGCGAGCTCACTTTCCTCCTCCTGTACGCTAGGCTTCATTCAGTGGCTTCCGTCTCCTCCTCACCTCCTGTTTTCAGGATTATTATTATTATTTTAGCGTTCTGGGAATGTTGTAGGCGCGGCGGCGGCGGTGTCAAGCTCTGGGCCGGTGCTTCCGGAGAGAGCGCACACAATTCCCTGCAGAGCGTAATGTGTGCCTTCTACTTGCAATTGCAGAGCAATATATTCGGCGGGCTGGAGTGAGAGTCTCCTGGCCCGTGCCGAGGCTCTGGCGGCCGTGGACATCGTCTCCCAGAACAAGAGCCACCACCACCATCCGCCCCACCACAGCCCCTTCAAGCCGGACGCCACCTACCACACCATGAACACCATTCCATGCACGTCGGCCGCCTCCTCCTCGTCTGTGCCCATCTCTCACCCGTCCGCGCTGGCGGGTACGCACCATCACCACCATCACCATCACCACCACCACCACCAGCCGCACCAGGCTCTCGAGGGCGAGCTGCTGGAGCACTTGAGTCCCGGGCTGGCCCTGGGCGCCATGGCGGGCCCCGATGGCGCCGTGGTGTCCACGCCGGCTCACGCGCCGCATATGGCCACCATGAACCCCATGCACCAAGCGGCGCTCAGCATGGCCCACGCGCACGGGTTGCCCTCGCACATGGGCTGCATGAGCGACGTGGACGCCGACCCGCGGGACCTGGAGGCGTTTGCCGAGCGCTTCAAGCAGCGACGCATCAAGCTGGGGGTGACCCAAGCGGATGTGGGCTCCGCGCTGGCCAACCTCAAGATCCCCGGCGTGGGCTCGCTTAGCCAGAGTACCATCTGCAGGTTCGAGTCCCTCACGCTGTCGCACAACAACATGATCGCGCTCAAACCCATCCTGCAGGCGTGGCTGGAGGAGGCCGAAAAGTCGCATCGCGAGAAGCTCACCAAGCCTGAGCTCTTCAACGGCGCCGAGAAGAAGCGCAAGCGCACGTCCATCGCCGCGCCCGAGAAGCGCTCGCTTGAAGCCTACTTTGCTATCCAGCCGCGGCCCTCCTCGGAGAAGATCGCCGCCATCGCCGAGAAGCTGGACCTTAAGAAAAACGTGGTGCGCGTCTGGTTTTGCAACCAGAGGCAGAAACAGAAAAGAATGAAATATTCCGCCGGCATTTAGGAGACCCTTGGCCTCTCCAGAGACGGCCTCGTCCCTCGTGTCCCCTCTTTCC